CCATAGAAGCTCCAATTTGCGACCCACGGAGCTTCTATGGCCCAGGATCTTCTCTGGCATACTATCCCTTTATTTCGGCCAATTTCCACTATTTTTTCAGCGATCCGCGGTGCCTGGTAGAGGCTAACGTAGGTGCCCAATGCCTGAATAGGTTAAAGTTAGGATCAGGTACGGTTCTGGATATTCTTTATCGTATCCAGAACCGTGCCCGATCCTAACCTTAACCCATTCAGTAATAGAACAGATAGATAGACACGGTTCTGGATAAGTTTTAGTGTATCCAAGAAGGTAGCTTTGCCGAAGGCATGGTTCTGGATACGCGTGGGCTATCCAGAAACGTACCCGATAAAGCATGGTTCTGGATACGCGTGGGCTATACAGACCCGTGCCTGAACATGGTTCTGGATAAAGCACGGTTCTGGATACCACAAATGCCGCCTCAGGGACTTTGAATACAGATAACTCAGAACCCTCAAGATACGCTGGGAGTAAAGAGTCGCAAACAGTCACAAAGACGGAAGTCAGCAAACGTAGAAGTGGCTGCAAGCAGTTTTTTTATATTCCAACATATAATCACAAGACATGGTGACGGCACACTCAAGTTAATACGCCACCAACACAGGGGACAATACAATACTCATTTTTACCTGAGCGAAGTGAGGAAAGTCGTGTAAAGTGCCTTTCCCAAGGGCACAAGATCGGTGGCATGTCGGGACTCGAACCCGGGACCGAGTCTCGGTTCCGAGTCGAGCACTCTGCCGCTACGCCACACGACCCCACAAAGAATTTTGAAGTTTGTTGGCGCCTATCTTGTGCATATTTCTTGCACAGAACTAAGACGGATATAAAGACGTACCTAAGATGAACGGGTGGAAGTACCACCGTCCCGTCCGTCCCTCGGCGCGCCCTCGCCTTTTCCTGACCCACCAGTACCTGAGTACTGCTGCTACCAGGACCGCCACAACCAGCGTGGTACCCAACGCAATCAGCGCAATTCCCACTGTCGTCAGCTGGCCAGGCGCGCTAACAGGTGGCTTGATGGTCATCAGGCCTTTTGAAATGAACAGAAAATAAGTTATTATTTGATTAATTTACGTAATCTCCAGTGACAAAAAGGAGGATTGATCGTCCAATCACAACACTTAAGGGTCTTATTCAGTCTGACACCGGTTTACAAGGATTGGAACTTTTATCAGCAATGAAAGACAGAAAGTACTGGCGACAAAACTTCACATGCTGCACCTTAGAAGAGGATGAATAAAGAAGAACTTACGTTATGTTTTCATAATTAAACTTTTAAAAGTTAAAAACTTGAGTGCAGCGCCACACCGTCCTTGTTATGTTTTGATGTTTCGATGAATAAAAAAAATGTACAGAAAGAACAGGGGGTGAATAAGACTGTACCAACAATATACTAATCATAAACTAGTCACGTTTGGCACCGCATTCAGACATTGGGTTGCTAGGAATGAATGAATGAATGAATGAATGAATGAATGAATGAATGAATGAATGAATGAATGAATGAATGAATGAATGAATGAATGAATGAATGAATGAATGAATGAATGAATGAATGAACGTACGAAGGAAGGAAGGAAGGAAAAAAATTCTTGGATTTGAGCACTGCGATGGACACAAAAATGTTATGTTGATCCTATTATCCGTTCGCAGACACTACAATTAGATTAATTGTTAAAAGAAAAAACATCACTCTGTTTAGGTAAGATAATTTGAGCCACTACAAGTCATGACAATGTAGTATACAGCATCCCTACCTGTTCCTCCAAGAGGCGGAAGCGCAGCTACACTGGCTACAGTTGTTGGCCTGGGCCCTGCGATCAACAAAAGTAGTCATTTTGCTATTTGCCATTTTGCCAAATACTAAATACTTGGTCACCAATAGGACAATTAGAACATGTACATCAAGGAAATATCTCCATTTAAAGGTAAGGCCTGTTACTGTGCATGGAAACCATTTTTGTCAATCATATTACACTAAACATATTAGCACTAAATATAAAGGCGACCAAAATCACTTACACTTTTACTTAGAATGTTGTACTCACCGACTTTAAGCGTGACATTCGCTACCGAAGAGTTGCCTAAGTAGTTTTTTGCGACCACAGTGTATATTCCTGAGTCTTCCACGCTGACTTCTGTGATCGTCAAGGTTCCTTGTGTGGTGTTTACTACGGCTGTATCTGGGAGAGAACCGTCTAGCCTGCCCCACGTGTAAGTAGAGGGTGGAACGCTATCCGATGTTGCCTGGAGATCGACAGTGTCGCCTTCTACTATGGTGGTGGGACTTGGCGTCACCTCTATGTGTGGCGGAGTTGGAGCATCTTCATAAAACAGAAGATTAGCCTGACATGTTATTAAAAAGAGAAGACTATGCACTGTCGAAAACCATGTGGTTCATCGGATAGAAGAAAATAGGACTAAATTGTTCACCCAAGAAAACTATGTTAAATTGGTTTACCCATCCAATGGCAATGAAATGATTTACGGAATGAGTACAGGTGAATACTGGTTGTCAGTTAGAGACGGGAAAAACATCATTGGATGGTTTACTCCTTTTTCTCTAAACAACCTACATTGTACGATGAGCTGTCTCCCCGCTTCATGCCGTGAGATATCAGGAGCGAACATGGCCATGAAGGTGAAGATTCCCGCGTCAGAAGGCCTGGTCCCGTTCAGCAGCAGACTCGATGCACCGATAGGACTCGTCCGGTTCTACATAAATAACATGCCACCTCCGTGAAAAGTTTCATCAGATTGGTAAGTCACTCAGTAAAGATTCCCCTTTTTTATGTTATGAGAGAGAGAGAGAGAGAGAGAGAGAGAGAAAGAGAGAGAGAGAGAGACTGGTTTATTTGTACACACAAAAGCCTGTAAGCAGCCATATTTGGCTGATTTGGGAAGGCTTTAAAACACAAAATGCGCTTTAAATACAGCTATTTGATAAAAGTTCGTTACATTTGATAAAAACCTATGTTAATATGTAAATTTGTAAATACTGTACGTTTGGGAATGCATCCATAGCAGCGACACCTGTACTGCTGTGCAATATGAACCAGTCAGAATTGCCCTGAGGAAGGTGACAGACGGTCACCGAAATGCCGGCTGAATAAAAAAACTTGGTTGTGTAAAAAGAGTCTCTTTACTCAATGCCAAAAGGAAATGCGTTAAACGTAAATCCAGCAAAGCAAACTGTCCATACCATCGGGTACCATAGAAAGGACGCCATGTTAGTAACGGTGTTGCTGAAGCTTGCATGCTTACACACCTCAACGGTACAGATTGAATACGTTAAAAAACATCATTCTGACATAGATGCGAAAATATTCTATTGGTTGGTGGTTTGGTTAGTTGGTTGTTTGGTTGGTTGTTTGGTTGGTTTTTTGGTTGGTTGGTTGGTTGGTTAGTTGGTTGGTCGGTATAACAACAACAGAGGGAATAGTAGAATAACGGCGGGAGAACAGCAGAGTCTTACGTTGTACTTGTGGTTGTCCTCGTTGATGACTACAGTATCCTCCACCATGTGCATGATATCGTTCTTGTCCGGGTCCCTCCACACTGCGTAGAAGATGCCGCTGCCGGGCCGGAGACTGAAGGCCCAGTCCAGTCGCGCTGAATCCCCTATCACAACCTCTGTGGTGCCGTCATCGAGAACATGAACACCGTTCTCTACTGCGTGGAGATAAGAACATTTTTTTTATTTGATTGAATTTGTAAAAATACAATACACGTGGGACACAGGCAGCTGTTGCTGGTGTTGTTTCCCACACAGTTTTCACTTTTTTTTCTTTCCCAAGGGCATCATCATCGGTGGCATGTCAGGACTCGAACCCGGGACCTCTTGGTTTCGAGTCGAGCACTGTGCCGTTACTTTGTGGTGGGAGATTCAGCGCGGCTAGACAGGCCGGAGGCTTAAGGCCCAGTCCAGTCGCGCTGAATCCCCTCTCACAGCCTCCGTTGTACCGTCATCGAGAACATGAACACCGTTCTCTACTGCAGGGAGGATGGAGACAAAAACACATATCGAATTTGTAAAAATACACGTGAGACACAGGCAGCTGTTGCTGGTGTTGTTCCCCACACAGTTTTCACTTTTTTGAGGGCCTGCAAGGGGGGGTCCCGACAACGCTCTACGCTGAATTCGGAAACCTCTCGATTACGCTTTACGATAAATTCCAAGTGGCTACAACGCATTACGTAGAATTAAAAGGCCGAACACTCTCTACGCAAAAATATTAGAGCGGTCCGTCTACGCTCTACGTAGAATTAAAACGGCCGATTACGCTCTACGGAAAAGGGCTTGCGGGCCCCCTTTTTCTTTCCCAAGGGCATCATCATCGGTGGCATGTCAGAACTAGAACCCGGTAAGTATGAAGTATAAAACCACCCCGGTACCTGGTTGCGTAGTGGTTGGGGCCGTGGTTGTAACAGCAGTCGTTTGAGGTGTAGTGGTGGTGACAACAGGCATTGTAGGCGTGATTGTAATTATGGCTGCCGTACTGGGTTGCGTTGTAGTCATCGTTGTAGTACCTTGTGTTGTTTGTGTTGTCGTTGTACCTTGTGTAGTACCATGTGTAGTGATTGTTGGGAAACTTTGTGTGGTAGTCTGAGTCGGGCTATGTGTACTAGGACGAGTTGGCATGGTTGTGGTCTGAGTAGTAGTTGTCGGTCTGGTTGTTTGTGTTGTCGTTGTACCATGTGTAGTAGCATGTGTAGTAGCATGTGTAGTAGCATGTGTAGTAGCATGTGTAGCATGTGTAGTAGCATGTGTAGTAGCATGTGTAGTAGCATGTGTACCGTGTGTAGTAGCATGTGTAGTGGTTGTTTGGGTTGTCGTTGTTTGTGTTGGCATGGTGGGAAGTGTTGGCCTGGTTGTGACTGAGTAGTTGTTTGTGTTGTCGGTTTATTTGTTTGTGTTGTCGTTGCCTGGGTTGTCGTTGTGGGAGCATGCGAGGGGAAGGTATTTTGCGTCGGCTGAGTGGCTGTAACTACTTGTGTTGCCGTTGTAGTTGTCCCTGTGGGCAGAGTTGTAGTTACTACTCCTCCCCCAGCAAGGGTTGTAGTGCCGTGTGTGGAAGCCTGACTTGGGGTATCTGTAGTGGGACGCGTTGGCCTGGTTGTAGTCTGAGTAGTAGTTGTCGGTTTAATTGTCGGTGTAGTGGTTGTCGTTGTAGTTGTTGGTAAAGGGGTAGTTGTTGTGGTTGTTTGGATCCCCTGAGCGGATGTCGTTGTAGACGCTGTAGCTGTCTGGGCTGTACTTGTTATCGGTGTGTTTGTTGGTTGGTCGGTGGTTGTTTCCGGAAGAGCTACGACTGAAACAGCAAGAAAAAAGTCACAGAGAGCAAGAAATTGTTCATAATCAAAGTTCCCGTACACCCCGTTATCTAGCTCTTTTTAGGCAATGGTTTACCACCGATTTGAAGTTATGTTTTCTTGTAAATTCCCTCAGTTCATGTTGCTTGAACTTCGTATTATTCATTTATTTATGTATAACTTTCAGTTATACTGATTTCATTTACATCTTTTGTTATGTACTTTGTATAATCTATTATTCTTTACTTATTGTACCCCCCCCCCCCTGGGCCTCCTTGTAAATCAGCTATTGGCTGAAGGAGCTACCCAGATGTCATTGAAGATTGAATAAATAAATGGATGTTGGCCATCACCGGATTACTATGTAGGTTTCCCGGCCGGGGCTTCTAATGCGTGCGATCTACGTCTGATCAGAAAATATTATTTGCAATGATGACAAAGATTTACGGGTTTTCTCTCGATACCCCTTGAAGATGGGCGTGTTTCCTCTATTTGGGACATCGGGATGTTTAAATCAGATATAAAGCCCTTGGGCCACACAGTTGCGTAATCACTACAGCAGAAGGCTAGTCACTTATAGCGCTTTCCCAAATGCTAAGCAGAGAAAGCAGTTCGTGTCATTTCAAAGTCTTTGGTGTGGCTCGGTCGGGGATCAAACTCACTATTTACGTACCAATACAACACTCTACCCAATTGGCTATTACACCGGTCAGCCTTGTAATGAACCATTTAAGAATGGTAAAGGTAAGAGACCTAACCTTCGAGAGTAAGTTGTAAAGTCTGTGATGCCCCGTCAGAAGACACCACGTACAGTTGGTAGGTTCCCGACTCCGCTGTGGTGACGTCTTTCAGCCGCAGGCCTGACATTCCAAACAGTTCCACCCGACCCTACAGAAGAACAGAATCATTTTATTGTTGTCTCACCCCGCATATTTCATGATCGTCAGTCGTCATCATTTCATTTCTCCCTCCCTTTCTCCCTCCCTTTCTCCCTCCCTTTCTCCC